TTTGCTTCTGGCTTCCATTTGCTTTTTTTTTTTTTTTTTTTTTTTTTTTTTTTTTTTTCTTTTCAAAGTTTTATTGATAAACATATAGCAATGAGACAGTTTCAGATCAAATCGAAAGTACAGTTTCAACAAATAATACACTGCATATATTCTTCTTAGTGGTTAATTGCTGTACAAGATGCAGACTTGTGATCCTATTTACAAACACCATTAGAACAAATCATTCTATTCATTAAGAGAATGCAACTATATATCTATCCCAACCACTTTGAATACACAGATACAAAATGGACATTCATCGGTATACCCCATTTTTTTTTAAGTTCCGTTATTGAATATTATAGGTGTGTAAACTCAGCAAAATATTCTAAAAGAGTCCAGTAGCCCATAATAGCATTGGGTCTTCTGTTTAACTGGCAATGTCAGAAATTATTGACCTGAGTCCCCCACCACTCAACATAACAACATGGCTTTACTTCCTATATTTCGTCTTCATACTTTTCTACTGGATGGTTAAGACCAAGGTAAAGCAGGACCTGTGCAACAAGAGTTGTAGCTTTTTGGTCTGATAAGGTCAGTGAAATGCTCTCAGGATTTATCCTGAGATCCTGTACCTCAGGTTGTAGAACCTTTGTCAGTGTCAGCCATGTGGATGAGTCACGGCCATTGCTTGGCCAATGTGCTCTCTGTGAAAGCCTGAGAGAGTGTCTTCTCCCCATGTGACTCTCCTTAGGCACACTCTACGTCATCGATCACTTTCCTCTTTGGCCCCATAATCTTCTTGATCAGAAAATTTGGGACACTACCGAGGTACATGACGTTACAGTACAAGTTCTCATATGTCCTGAGTCTTAATTGACCTTAGAAGACTAGGGCCAAAATGTTGGCTTTCCTTGTAGCCCTCCTTTTTCTCTAATTTTGGTTTGCAAACTTAGGTTGTTAACCATTCATCCATTTGCTTATGATGACAAGTCATATATAATTTTTATTCTTGTCTTAAATATAACATGACCTTTTCTCTGGTTTCTAATTAGCAATTTTTAAACATTTGTTTATATTAAGTGGACTATGTTGTGCCTTTATGTGGTTTTATTTATATTTATCATGTTTGTATGATGTTTTGACCTGTTTTTGAGTTTATAATCCTTTCTTTTGTTTTCCTACCTAGTGAACAAATTATTATTATTATTTTTCTGGTCTTTCTTCTTTCTTCTTTCTTTCTTTCTTTCTTTCTTTCTCTTTCTTTCTTTCTTTCTTTCTTTCTTTCTTTCTTTCTTTCTTTCTTTCTTTCTTTCTTCTTTCTTCTTTCTTTCTTTTCTTACTGGGGATTGAACTCAGGAAGGACCTTGTGCTTACCAGGCAGGCACTTATGCTGCTGAGCTATCTAGCTGGCCCTTATGGTCTTTTTTCTTCCTTTTCTTTTCTATTCTTTTTAAGACAGGGTCTCACTGGGGAGAATTCCTACTAGAGTGATCACTGTATCACATGGAATTTCTTTTCTTTTTGTTTGCGGAACCAGGGATTGAACTTGCCAGGGAAGTGCTTATTCCACTGAGCCATCTCCCTGGCCCCGTCACATGGAATTTCTAATTTTGGTCTTTTGAGAAATCTCATTACTGACTTCCATAATGACTGTATCAGTCTACATTCCCACCAACGATGAAGAAGGGATCCTTTTTCACCATAGCCATGTCAGTATTTGTTACTGTTGTCATTCTTTCCTGGTAAAATGGAAACTTGATATCGTTTTAATTCACATTTCTCTAATTGCCTGAGATGTCAGGCATTTTTTTCATAGATTTATTGACCATTTTTTATTCCTCTGTGATGTGTCTGTTCATTTCTCTTGCTCATTTCTTGACTGTTTAATGTTTTTGAGTTCTCTGATATTCTAGATATTAGCTCTCCTCCTGTGCGTGCCCTGTGGGTGCGTGTGCGTTCCTAGTGACCTCTGCAGGAGCTGGGAGGGGGCACCAGGACTTACTGTCCAGGTGCATCTTTAGGGCTGAGGCTAAGGCAGAAGGGGACCCTGCTTGTGGAGTGGCCAAGGTTCATCCATGTAACAGTGGCCTTAAGGTCTGTGGGACAGAGGGAGCTAGGAGAACCCTGGAACCCATCTGAGCCTGTTGTGACCCAGGTTGATAGTGATAGTGATATCAGGTTGGCTCTGGTGCTCCTTGGGGGCGTCCCTGGCATCGTGTGGCTAGGTTGCGCAAGAGTCAGCAGTTCAGTGCCTCTCTCTATAGACAATTTTTTTTTCAGTGCCAGAGATTGAACTCAAGACCTTGTCTTGCCAGGCAGGTGCTTATGCTGCTGAGCTATCTCCCCACCCCTCCCCAAAGACAATTGGTGGTAGTTTGTATATTACTTTTCTTTTACGTAAATTTAAACCTATGTATATAATTATGTCTAGTTTTTTTTTTTTTTTTCTCCTCACAGTACTGGGGATTAAATCTTGGATCCTCACACTGAGCTACAGCCCTAGCCCTTTTTTATTTTATTTTATTTTTATTTATTTATGTGTGTGTGTGTGTG